CTGGTGGGAGAATACTGCCACCCAGCCCAGCCAGGCATGCCACCCAGCTTCAGCTTCTGTGTGCACCAGAATTGTGATGGAACCGACACCAAAACCAAGGTCCCCTTGATCGTGAACTCCTTAAAGTCTTTTCCCAACCAGCCTCGAAGTGACAGGCTAGACACCTAGTGGGCTTCTTCAGTAATGACAGGCAGCTATCACAGAAATTCACTCATCAGCTCCTTAGTGAATTTGACAAACAGGAAAATGAAACATTTGTTTAGTGACGTTATGAGTGACAGAATTAAATGACCAGGGAGAAAATGAAAACCATTTTCCAATCATTTATGGCATCTCTGTCAACATTCAAATGGCAGAGATTTACCAAGCATCCTTCCCGGACCAAGGCACAGAGGAGGAGCTGCGAGCCACGCGGGCATCAGCCCGGGGACCAGTGATCAGCATTTATGATTCAAAGACAAAACAACTTCAAACAGGACCGTATTCCTGGACGCCATTTCCCTGTGGATTTCTGGTTGCAATAAGATGACAAGTAAATATTAGGGAACCTTTCCACTTCACCTTTAGCTGAGCCCCCTCACTTTGTCGAACACGTCAGATCTCACTAGGGTATTGAAGATTTCTCTGCACACCCCTCCTAAAACTGTTCTGCACCTAAACTGTTGACATATGCCTTGTTAGAGTTATAAGCCAGTCTAGACTGCCCGAAAAACAGCCAGGTTCAGCAAAATTATGCCTCAGTGCTATAAAATGCTAAATACTATAATAAAAATAGACACAAAACAGCTGAATAGTAATCCATAACCATTTTAAGGTGTATAGAACCTGGTTGTATATAAACTAAAATTGAAATGTCAATGAAGAAGTCACAGGATGTAAAGAACTTGCATTTTTTTCTTTTAACATATTCATTACTCAATACTATGTCAATTAATTCTATAACATTATAAATTGTTGCTGATGTTATGTTGGGGCTTTTAATTGATCGGGATGATACTCTGCCGGCTCTACCTTCAGACCAGAGATGGTCTTCCCAAGAAGCCGTTGAACTTATCTGGATAATAAGATGCTGGACTCTATGCTTGGTATATGTTTGCAATGAAAGAATCTCAACTGAACTTGAACTGCGGTAATGCAACAAGGTGGAGGAATCCACCATGAGGGGGTTTGGGAAGGGAAGGGGGAAATCCTAGCACCTATAAAACTATGTCACATAATGCAATGTAATTAAAAAAAAAATACAGAACCCTCACCCCTTATTACCTGAGGAGGGTTATAAGAGGTCCTAAAAGAATCAAAATCCATTTTTACATAAAATAACATACTATTTGTTAAATATTTTTTAATTAAAAGAAATAAATTACAACAAGAAAAAAATAAATAAAAAGTATCCATCTCCAACCAAGACACAGTTTCCTGGAAACAAAGCTCTGCTCCACAGAAGAAACAAAGATGGCTTATGGGAAAAGATCTCTTCTCCAGGAAGCAGAAGATAGGCAGTAGCACAGAGAGCAACTTGCTGGCAGGATACAAACCATTGCTGGGGCTGGAGGAATGTGAACTGGTGAACATGGGATCTCTGTGTGTGGGATCAAGAGGTGTCCTCCTTACTCAGTAACTTTCAGATGACTTGCACAATAAAATCTTATTTTGGCAGAAAAAGAAAGAAAGAAAGAAAGAAAGAAAGAAAGAAAGAAAGAAAGAAAGAAAGAAAGAAAGAAAGAAAGAAAGAAAGAAAGAAAGAAAGAAAAAAACTGTGCAGTTATAGAAAAAAAATGAAGAAAAATGGAATTCTAGGAGCCAGCATCCATATGCACTGGCCACATGCCGTACCCAAAATGGCGCCGGCCAGAGAAGCCACACCTTCGTGCGTGGTGGAGAGTCACGTAGCTTTCGCGATACTGCGCAGGCGCCTAGCGCATGCGCAGTGAGCTGCGGCGTGGCCAGCGCATGAACACTGGGGACTGACGAATCCGGTCGCCCAGGACCCTGCTCTTATGTGCTGACCTATCATTGGCGGAGGTGGGGCCAGTCAGCACATAAGAGCAGACAGCCTGCCGGGGTTGGAGCCCTTTCCTCTTCCTCATCTTGGTACGCACAATAAATTTTACCGCAGAAGGTCGCGGCTGCCTCTTATTGCTGGGCGATAAGACACGTGGGCGCGACAACTGGTTCCAGAAACCCGGGACTTGGAGGGGGCCTCCCGTTTCGAACGGGACAAAGTCAGAACTGCGGCCATAAGACAGGTAAGGAGCTCTGAGAGGGAGAACTTTCGGGTGACTGGGAGCATAAATCGGAGGTATATGAGCCGCCGCTCCTGGTTATAGACATGGGCGCACAAGTCTCTCTGGTGAAATTTTTGCAGACGGTTTATGCCCTCCGTAAGGGAGCGGTCAGAGAGAGTGACAAAGCCCTTCAGTCTGCCCAGGATCGTCTCTCAGAAACAGAGCAGGAGAGGAGAACCGGTATGAAGCAAAAAAGAAAGGTGAAGCTAACCATGCATTCAGAGGAGTTGTCAGATAAGACCCCTCCTTACCCACTTCCAGATTTAGAGAAACTGAAAGTGGGATCTTCCTCATCAAGTTCGGAGACATCCGACGCGGAGGAAGGGTACAAGCGGAATAGGCGCTTAGAACGCAGACAACCCGCTGAAAACAGAGGAGGATCAGAAAAGGAGAAGAAAGATAATGGCGGTGCTACTGCGCCGGCCACGCTCGGCCCATGGCCTCAGGGCTCTGGAGCCATTTCACTAATGACTCCTCCTGCTGTGACGCCATCTGCCCCGCCCATGAGTTACGGTGCCGGCTCTTCCTTCATTGATCCAGCCACACGCCGGGAACTTCAAAATATGTTCCCCATCTTAGAAGAAGAAGGGGAAAGAGTTTACAGACAGGTAGATGCAGCATTAGTGCGAGAATTGGCCATGTCTGTAAAGCAATATGGTCTTCATGCCAATTACACTTTGTCCCTGTTAGAACGTATGGGGGGAATGAATATGACCCCCTCTGATTGGCAATTTGTGGTGAAGGCTGTTCTCCCTAATATGGGATCATATCTAAATTGGAAGGGATTATGGCAGGAGCTTTTGGCTGAGACCGCCCGCGCAAATCAACAGCGCGGCGGCGAAGCTTTGACGTGGACCTATAATATGCTTTCCGGACAAGGCCAATACGTTGATGATCAAAATAGCTACCCATGGCCAGTGTATTCCCAAATTTCTACCGCAGCTATAAAGGCGTGGAAGGCCCTTTCACTCAAAGGGCAAGAGAAATTGGACATTACACAGGTTAAACAGGAACCGGATGAGCCCTTTGCCGATTTTGTGGCACGTGTAATGCAGGCCGTGGAAAGGACTTTTGGAGAGGGAGATCAGAGCACCAGAATGGTAGAGCAAATAGTTTGGGAGCAGTGTAATGCAGAATGTAGAGCCCTACTTAAGGATCGTAAATCCAGGGGAATTGCAGATTGGCTTAAGATTTATAGGGATACAGGAGGCCCTTTAACAGCTCATGGGCTAGCAGCCGCCATTTTGAGGTCTAATCATAGGGAGAGAACATCACCCGTGTGCTTTCAGTGTGGCAAACCAGGACATATGAAAAGGGAATGCCGTGCAGGGCCTCGTAATAAGCCTCCTGGGATGTGCCCACGGTGCCGCAAAGGTAGACATTGGGCCAATGAATGCAAGTCAGTGAAGGATATAAAAGGACGCCCTCTCTCGAGCAAGGAGCCAAAACACCCCTTAAGCCAGGAGTCAAAAAACGGGAGATGGGGACCGAAGACCCAGGTCCCCTCGACCGACCGGGCACCCTTCCGTCATGCACAAAGGAACCCTCCCAAGAGCGACACCCCGCAAGCTCGGACCTCTGTGCCGCCACCGGAGTCCTCTTAAAACCAGAGGACGGCATTACGCCGGTACCGGTCATCTTAACAGACACGGTGCCACCTGGCGTGGTCGGGCTTGTGATAGGCCGAGCAGCCTTGAGCTCTCAAGGGTTTATTGTGACAACCGGAATTTTGCATCCGGAAGCTAGCTCATTTTCAGTGCTGTGCTCAGTCGCACGAGGTGCCTTTGCTGTCGCGCCAGGTGATCCTATAGCCCAACCAGCCTTGATTAGTGCAGATAAGAATGTCCAGGCCCAAGTAGAGGTTCCTTATATAAATTTAATGATGGATATGGTCGATAGACCCATGCTTGAGTTGCAAATGGAGAATAGACCGTTTATGGGGCTTTTAGACACGGGAGCTGATAAGAGCATCATAACCTCTAAGTATTGGCCGCATGATTGGCCTTTGATTCAAACTTCTCACAGCCTACGCGGCCTGGGGTTTGAACAAGCTCCATCCCAAAGTGCCAGAGCCCTACAGTGGAAGGATAAGGAAGGCAATTGCGGGACAGTCACAGCATATGTCCTGCACCTACCGGTTTGCCTTTGGGGAAGAGATATTCTTAAACAAATGGGGGTACGATTAGTCTCCGGTGCCTCTGGTTATTCTGAAGTCTCTCGAAAGCTGATGGATAAGAGTCATTCCTCTTCTTATCCATATCCTTGGCAGAATCCAGCCCTGCCGGTTACTGCCAACCCTTGGGACCATTGGCTCTTATGTGGCCTAAATGGCTCCTGCACAGATCTCCAGCCCTTTTCCATGTTATTGGGCAGTGCCGTGGGGACGACCCGTTTTCAGCGGGATGCTAATGATTTTGATTGGTCCATACACCAAAATGTTTCTGGTAAAATTATTCCCTTCTCCCCCACCCCGGTCTGTGTGACTAGCCCGTTTTTGTTTTTATTAGTGAAGGGGGTAAAGGATGTGAATAGAAAAGAAATTAATTGTTCACAAGATTATTGTGTGCTGGCGCAATGCTGGAATACCACTGAAGGTTGGGATTTAGCTGTTGTAACGGCCCTACCTAGATGGATACCTTGGCCTGTAGAAGCCCCCTCCGCTATGACGCTCTATCGCCAGAAGAGAGATTTTGGCATAACTGTGGCAATAGTGACTGCGGTTGCCATGGCACTTGCAGCATCAGCCACAGCAGCGGTGGCCCTGACCGCTGGCATTCAAACAGATACTACCTTGAACAACCTAAGTGCTTCTGTGGCTACAGCATTGCATGATCAGTCTTTCATAAATGGTCATCTCAAAGGAAGCTTGATGGTTCTCAATCAACGAGTTGATTTAGTTCAAGAGCAATTAGATATTCTGCTTGAAATAGACAGTTGGGTTGTCAATGGCATATGCAAGGTTTATGTGTTACTTCTATTCCTTTTCAAAATGTTTCAACGGCTACTAATCTTTCTCGCCAGCTTTCTTCCTATCTTTTAGGAAATTGGACGAGAGAATTTGATATTTTACAATCTGAGCTGAGAATTGCCATTGTTCAGATTAATTCTACACGGGTGGATCCTGTTGTTGCTGAAACCCTGGCCACTTGGATTTGGAACATCACTTCCCATATTAAGGAATGGGCTGGAGTGGTTGTGCTGATTCTGCTCTTGTGCGCAGGCTGTGCCCTATGCCTTTTTTGCCTGTGTTGTCTGAGACGCCGTGCTCAGTGAGATCGTGTGGCAATACATCAAGCTTTACTAGCCATGCAGAATGGTGACTCCCCCATGGTATGGTTGAGCATGCTTCAATAGGCTTAGTTAAGAGCATGGACATCATGGCTCCTGCACCTCAGGCCATTATGGCATTGCACTGAGTTTGAGCATGATGCACCCGACTAGCCCTTGCACCTCGCAGGACTTGTCCATTGCACGCGAGAGGGTAGTCACTCTTATAACTGCCTTGTCGAGACATTGCTCTTTACAACCGCCGTGGTTGTAGCCCATGACGGGTAAGATAGACCCAGACAATTATTGGTCTAAGACAGGGACTACGTCAAGCTACGCAGCCTCCCTATGACGGATCGTGCACCTTGAGTCTACAACCTAAGACAGGCCCATACCAGCTTATTTTTCTATTGTATAAGAAAGGGGGAGATGTTGCCAGCCGCATCCGTATGCACTGGCCACATGCCGTACCCAAAATGGCACTGGCCAGAAAAGCCACACCTTAGTGCCTGGTGGAGAGTCACGTAGCTTTCACGATACTGCGCAGGTGCCTAGCGCATGCGCAGTGAGCTGCAGCATGGCAGGTGCATGAACACTGGGGACTGACGAATCCGGTCGCCCAGGACCCTGCGTGATCATGACGCCGACCTATCCTCGCAGAGGTGGGGCCAGTCAGCACATAAGAGCAGACAGCCTGCCGGGGTCAGGGCCCTTTCCTCTTCCTCATCTTGGTGTGCACAATAAATTTTACCGCAGAAGACTTCACTCGCGTCTGCCTCTTATTGCTGGACGATAGGAGTCGTGGGCGCGACATGATGGCACTGGCATCCCACATGGGCACTGCTGATTGGAGTACTGAGCGCTCCACTTTCAGTCTAAGTTCCTAATAATGTACCTGGGAAAGCAAGGGGGAAATGGGCTTCTGCACCCACGTGGGAGAGCTGGATGAAGTTCCTGCCTTCTGCCTGGCCCTGCCCTGATTGTTGTATTCATCTGGAAAATTAACTCGTCGAATTAAGATCGCTCTCTTTTTCTGTCTCTCCCTCTCTTTCATTCAAATAAAATATATCTAAAAGAAGAAAGAAAAGCGGGCCAAACACAACTCACTGAGAAAAAATTCAACTCTCCAGCAAAAATATGAGATGCACATGCCCTCACAAGCCCTTGCCTTCCAATGGCCACACTCTCAATTTTTGTCCGTTTTAGGTATGAAATGATGACCAAGGCAATGTTGTACCATTTCAGATGAGGCCACTACCTGCAATGCCTGCATCCCAATTTTGAGTGCCATTCTGAATCCAGGCTACTCCCCTTACGATCTATCTCCCCATCTTTTGGTTGATGTTCCAGGGAAAGCAACAGAGGATGGCCCAAGTGCATGGGTCCCGAAAAAGGTGTTGGCCAGGGCCCAGATGATACCTCAATGGCTAAATCCTTACCTTGCACATGCTAATTTGGGCACTGGTTCATGTCTCAGCTGCTGCACTTCCAATCCAGCTTCCCGCTTATGGCTTGGGAAAGCAGTAGAGGACAGCCCAAAGCCTCGGAACCCTTCATGCATGTGAGAGACCTGGACGAAGCTCCTGACTCCTGGCTTCGAATAGGCTCAGATTCAACTGGTTTCAGCACTTGGGGAGTGACCAGCAGACAGATAATCTTTTTCTCTGTCTCTTTTTGGTTATCTGCTTTTCTAATAAAAATAGATGAACCTCAAAAGGAACGGAGGAAGGAAGGAAGAAGGATATGGGGGCAGAAAAGGGGCTCCTGGAACCCCACTGTCTCAGCCTATTGGAACTATCAACTTTGCACTCTCTTGTGGTCAGCAAGTTTGTTCTGTAGAACCTCCTGCCGGATGAGTGCCATGCTGAAATGAAGACAAGTTAAAAACCTGCGTCTCAGCTTGTCTACAGACCAGTGCCAAAACAGCAGCTTGCAGGACACCAGGGTACAGAAATACCCCAATCGTGTGTCTAAAAATTAGACCAGCTGGCCAACTAGCTACTGCTTGCTAAAAGCAGAAACTTCCCTATATGCAAAGCTGAAGTAATTTCTACAGCTCACATCTGGCTCTCACTCAATCAGCACTGAGTGTCCCCAAGCCAGAGTAGCACCACACATCCCTTCTTTGAGCGAGACCGTCCGGGGAGGGGCTGATGGGATGCTGAATCCCACAGTGTGCAAAGTCCAGGTGTGCTGGACTGAAGACTGGAAGATTTATGGGGAGGGGACACACTGTACACAAAGACTTTGAAATGTAGTCTTCAGAAATATTTATTCAAAAGAAGTAGAATTAGAGTCCAGCGCAGTAGCCTAGTGACTGATGTCCTCACCTTAAACGTGCCAGGATCCCATATGGACACAGGTTCTAATACGGGCACCCCTGCTAACCATCCAGCTCCCTGCTTATGACCGGGGAAAGCTGTCAAGGACAACGCAAAGCCTTGGAACCCTGTACCCATGTTGGAGACCCAGAAGAGCTCCTGGCTTTTGGCTTTGGACCAGCTCAGCTCTGGCCATTGCAGTCACTTAGGGAGTGAATAATTGGACAGAAGATCTTCCTCTCTGTCTCTCCTCCTCTCTTTTGAGTCTGGCGCAGCAGCCTTGCAGCTAAAGTGCTCGCCTTGCACACACCAGGATTCCATATGAATGAGGGTTCTTGTCATGCTTCCCCTCCAGCTCCCTGCCTGTGGCCTGGGAAAGCCTTGGGACCCTGCATCCACATGGGAGACCTGGAAGAATCTCCAGGCTCCTGGCTTCAGATTGGCTCAGCTCCAGCTGCTGTGCTCACTTGGGGAATGAATCATCGGATGGAAGATCTTTCTCTTTATCTCTCCGCCTCTCTGTATATCCACCTTTCCAATAAAAATAAATAAATCTTAAAAAAAAAAAAAAAAAAGTAGAATTAGAGAGAAACAGAATCCTCCATCCATTGGTTCAGTTAAATTCTGACGGCAACCACTGGGGCCGGTCCAGGCCAAAGCCAGGGGTGCTTTCCAGGTGCTCCAAGTGGGTGCTGAAACCCCTTGGGTCATCTTTTCCGGCCTTCCCTAAAAGCATTGACAGGGAGCTGGAGCAGAAGCGCATCAATGATCTTAACCTATGTCAACACTATCCCTGAATATAACTGGCTAATCTAACCTGTTTCTAAGTTTCCTTTTGTCTGCTTCACACTTCTAACAAAGAATTGGAAAAAATCCTAGTCCAAAGAAAGGAGCCGTCAGCCTCTGAAACCTGTGGGCTGTTCTCCAAGTAGCTCACACTCTGATGTAGCACACTGACACCTCCCGACAAAGGTGGCTGCCTGCTTCCGGAGTAAGAGAGCAGAGTGGAAACCATCCCAGGCAAGTCACTGATGCAATCTTGGAGGCACCATGGCGCCACCTCTGCCATCTAAGGGCAGGGACAGGGCAATGGAAAACGCAGTCAGAGAAAGAACTGAGTCCACAAGAACAACAGGGCACAGCCTGACTCGGTTCTCTCCTACCTGACATTTGGGTCGAAAGTCAGGGTGTTTGTCTTCGGGTTCTTACACCAACCTTGTGAGGAAGCCACGTCTCTGTCACCTCTGTTCTTCCCCCCTTTCTTCTGGGTATACATAGACCCGACCCACGCTGTCCACAGGGAGCTCACACGAAGGTACAATCCCACATGGACGGGTCATCTGGGAGGCTGCTTCCACAGTTAGTACACAACGGCTGGTTTGCCAGGCCTCTCACCACGGCAACTCTTGGGAAATTTTGACAACACCTGATTCCCAGCCTCTCCAACGTTGGTCAGTTCTCTCTGAATTTTCCAGTTTAGTGGTGGCCAAGCAAGTATGTTTCCTGTCCAACTTCTATTAGCAATTCTGATTAAAGCTGAGCATAAGATGAGAATGGAATAAAAAAAAATAAGGAAGGTAAGACTCAGACATAATGGAATAAGCTATTTGATTAGTGCTTAGTTAAACGGATAATGTACCACAAGAGAAATTGTCAGAGGTTTTACTCTCTTGGCTTGAGAGTGGATATGTAGCTTGAATCTAAAGAAAGCTCTGACCGAGAAGAGGATCAATGCGTCAAAAGGGCAGGTCTTGCCAAAGTTGAAGCATCTTATTACCAAATGCCCATGCTTGTGTGGTCCCTGGTGCCCCCAAATGGCAGTGAATTTGAAATGGGTGTTTCTCCCGTGAGCATTTGCTTAGTTCAGGAAGTTGTGGAAAAGGCTTTGCTGGGATAAAAGTTCCTGCTTCTAGAAGCAGGGGTCTGGTAGTGAGTGCGGGGCGAGGGGCGCGTGTAGTGTTTTTTTAAACATTTTTTAAATTTTATTTTTAATGAAAAGGTAAATTTACAACAGGAAACACAATGAGGAAGACATTTGCTTTGCTGCATCACTGCCCAAATGACTACAATGACCAGAGCTGAGCTGATTCGAAGCCAGGAGCCTGTTCTAGGTCTCCCCAAGCATGTATAGGATGCGAAGGCTTTGGGCCGTGTTCCGCTGCTTTCCCAGGCCACTAGCAAGGAGTTGGATGGGAAGTAGAGCAACTGGGACATGAACCTGCACCCATACAGGATCAAAGCAATTGCAAGTAGAGGATTAGCCAATTGAGCCAATTGCTCCAGTCCCCCCTTTAACAGGTTTAAGACGGAAAACACCCATATGGAGTGTCTTGTGTTTCTTCCCTTTGAAGACCCTTCCTGCCGCACCAGGCCACAGGTTGAAATGTATCAGTGCTGATCACACAAAACCCACAGCAACTGAAAGCATGGGTGCAGGGTGACACAACCCAATGTCATGATGATGTCGATGGAGGGCTCTTGTCTTACACCAAGAGATTACTAAGTGCAGACACACTGAGATGCACAAAGTGACAAGTGTATTACAAAAGTGAGACCATAAATAAACATACACACCTGAGCATAGCCTGTCCTGTGTTGAGAAATGCCAGTTATACGTGGACCAGGGGATTGCCCAGAGGGAATAAGGGGAGGGAGGGAGGGCACCCCCACAACACTGCCAGCTGTGGTCCCCAGGAAAAGGGGGAGGGGAGAAGGGCAGGGAGAGAGAAGAGGGAAAGAGGGAGACTGTTCTCTCTTGGTTGGTTTCTCTAGTGAGGCAGGGGCAGAGGCCTCTAGGGTGTGAAGCCAGCTGAGAGTGCTGTGGCACCTCCACATGTCCCACAGGAAACTTGGCCTACGTAGCCCACGTCTGTGTCCTAGCAGTCCCATGCCGGAGCTCTGCTCCTTGCTCTCTCATTGGAGCCACGTGGCGACTTTGCTAACCTTGGATCCTGCTAGCCCAGCAGCTTCCTTCCCACCCCGTCCACACACTAAGACCTTCACAGCCACTCAGGAGCTCTTGTTCATTTTTTCTTCTGCGTGTAATAAGGCCCACTCTGTCATATCCTCGTCTACAAAATTCTTTTCCTCAGTGAACATTCTCCGTGCAAAAGGAAAGCAAAAATGAACTTGAGAACAACTGTAACCAACACCTGTTCATGCTGGTGAGCAGACAGGGGCGCGTGAAACACCATAAACACCAAAATAGCAAGTTGTGAAAAATACAAGCGAAAAGGTGAATTAAATTTGGTACAATAGCAATTTCAAATGCAGGCCTGGCCCCAGAGCTAGTGGCTAATCTTCATCTTACATCTGCCTGGATCCCATAGGGGCGCCAATTTGTGTCCTGGCTGCTCCACTTCCCATCCAGCTCCCTGCTTGTGGTCTGGGCAAGCAGTCCAGGACTTTTCCAAAGCCTTGAGACCCTGCGTCAGCGTGGGAGACCCAGAAAAAGCTCTGGGCTCCTGACTTCAGAAGGGTTCAGCTCTGGCCTTCCAGCCACTTTGGGAGTGAAGAAGTAGGCAGAAGTTCTTTCTCTATGTATCTCCTTCTCTGTGGAAATCTGCCTTTCCAATTAAAAAAAAAATTTTTTTTAATATATCAAGCACATGTTTTTATTGTTATTTACAGATTATTTTATATCAGAAGTGTAGATTTGCAGAGGGAAAGAAGGAAAGATCTTCCACCCACTGGGTCACTCCCTAAATGGCGCAGTAATTGCAAAGGTGCCGGGTCTGAAGTTTTCCTTTCACGCTACACGCCTTCCCATCTCTGAAAACACCGTCTTTGGTTTAACATTCCCTTTTCTTACGAAAAACAGTAAAGGACGGAAAGGGAAATAGAACGTGGAGCTAACTCATAACAGCAGGTGTGGTCCACTTTAAATTCCTCTCGGCGAAAAATACCAACCACGTGAAAGGAAACACCACCCTTAAAGAAGTGAAAGATTAAAAGGAGAGGGAACAGGAGGCAAACTCTTTACATTGTAAGCCAGAGCCCCTCCACGGGAGGGGCGAGGGAGACCCCGGTCCCTCTGGACCGGCTGTGCAGGTAGGAAGGCATGGATGAGCCTCTGCACTAACCGGCACCCATCCTCGCTCAGTCTCTTCTCTTCCTAACTATTGAGAAAAGGCAGTTCTGGAGTGTTAACTCTGCTCTGCTGCTTTGTATCATCATCACTAAATTGCGCAGAGTAAAGCTACATGTTTATGATGCATAGCTTTGGAGCAGCCAGTGTCAGGGTGCACACGCTTCAGCACCTGGCACGCATGCACCCAACCGTCCTGCAGCTGAGTTTGGGTTTGCCCCAAGTGGTGGTCTCGGGGAAGCCTTTTGGAGGTGCTTGGGTAGACCGAGCTAAAGCTAGATGGAAACGTTAAAACCTAGCGGGAAGGTGGGCGGGGCCAAGAAGGGATATTTGCTGGAAGCTTGACAGATGTAGAACCGCCCTGACTTTCTGACGTATCCAGATGCTGGATACTTTGGTGAAGTTATGCATTCCGCCAATCACAAGTCCGGTCCTATATAACAGCGCTCCATTGGTGTAAACGAAAATCACGCAGGAGCCAATCTCACAGCTACCTTTACGCGGCGAGTAGAAAAAAGTATTTGTCCTTTAGACTGCGATTTACCTCTAGCTTGGCACGGGAGGCCAGGCCGCAAGGCTGGCACCAAGGGGACAAGACGCGCGCGTTGCGGGGTAGGCCGCAGTTCCACGCCGGCCACGTGCACCAGCTGATATGCAAGGGTAACTGCGCCAAACGCGCCGACGGGGGAGCGCACGTCTGCATGGCGGCCGTAAAACCTGGAGCCGGGGAAACCTTATCCTGTGCGACCCTGTAGCTGCCCTTTAACAGCTCAGCAAACCATGTTGCCAGCGTTTGGGCTGTAGAGACCCGCTCACTAGAAAACCGCCTTCACCTTGTTTTGCCTAGAGGTACTACCCCACCCACGGTCCTATTACGACGGTTACGCATTGACACATGTGGGCACTGTCTAAAATGCAGACTTGGGACAATGCACAGCTCCCTTCTGAGTTCTCTGGGTGGCTCTGAAAAGAGCCTTTGGGGTTTCGTCGGCTGCTGCACTGTGCACCAGCTTCCTACTTCTTCTTGGGAGCAGTCTTCTTGGCCTTCGTAGCTTTGGGCTTCGCTGCCTTAGGCTTGGCAGCTTTGGGCTTGGCCGCCTTCGGCTTCACCGCCTTGGGCTTGGCAGGACTCTTAGCCGCCTTTTTGGGCTTAGCCGCCGCTTTTGCCTTCTTGGGGCTCTTGGCCACCTTCTTGACGCCAGCCGAGGCGGGCTTCTTGGCCTTCTTGGGAGTCTTCTTCACCGCCTTCTTCGCACCCGTAGCCTTCTTGGGCTTCTTGGGAGTGGCGCCTGCAGGTTTCTTAGCTTTGGCTGCACCCGCCTTCTTGGTCTTGGGCTTGGCGTCGCCGGCAGCTGCCTTCTTGTTGAGCTTGAAAGAGCCAGAAGCGCCGGTGCCCTTGGTCTGAACCAGGGTGCCTTTGCTCACCAGGCTCTTGAGCCCCAGTTTGATGCGACTGTTGTTCTTCTCCACGTCGTAGCCGCCGGCAGCAAGAGCCTTCTTGAGCGCAGCCAGAGAAAGGCCATTGCGCTCCTTGGAGGCAGCGACAGCCTTGGTGATGAGCTCGGAGACCGGGGGTCCGGTAGCCTTGCGCTTGGCAGCGCCGGATCCGGCCGCCTTCTTGGTTGCCTTCTTCTTGGCAGGGGACTTCTCGGCGGGCGCCGGCGCGGCAGTCTCGGCGGGAGCGGTTTCCGACATAGCTGGCGACAGGAGACGCTGCTCTGTAAAACAAGGGCGAAACCCAAAGAACAAGTTTTGCGACGGCCCGAGCTCAGGCCAGGACTTATATAAGCCGATGCTGCCTTGTGATTGGTGGAGCGTCCAATCCGCCGCCCTCGGGACCTCCGCCGCCGCCGCCGCAGGCTGGCTTTCCTGATTTTGTGTTTGTTAGTCTCCCAACTTTGATGAAATGCAGACGAGTTGGGGACAGAATTTTCTGCTGACGAGTTAGAAAGAAAGAAAACACCCTCCGGGGTCTCAGACTTGTCTGTGTTTGGGGGGTTCTTGCGCAATTGGAAAAAGATATTTTGAAAACTGCGTTCATTTCTTTTCCGGGAAGACCCGGGGCAGAGGGCATCCTGCTACTTACTCGCAAGTTCCAAGAGATTTCCAGTAGATATCCAGCAAACATCATTTAAGGGGGCTGGTGCCTAGTATCCGCCTTTAATTCTTGCAAGAGGAGAAACACTGCGTTCCTCCGTTTTAGAGTAAACCTTGTTACTAACTATAGCAAGTAGCACAAGTATGGGACAGCTGGCTGCATTACAACCCCACGCCAGCCACAGCGACCTTGCTATAAAGACAGGGTCTCCCTCCGAGGAGTTAGCACGAACAAAGGTCTTCAGAGAGTGCAAGTTTCGGCTTGGAAAAGCTGGGTGAATTGGAGTAATTTGTTTCCCAGTACAATAGAGGTTAGAAAATCCCTTTACCTTCAGGATCCAATTATTGTAAACTCTGAACTTATTTATTGATTAAGGTGCTTTTTTTATATATGTAACTGCTGCTTTAAATAGGAGAGGTGCAAGTATTTAACAGAGCTTTCATCGCTAAAAAGCTTTCCAAAATATGACATGATTCACAGTAGAGGCTTTAGGGCGAATTCCGATTTCTGAGTGTTCATTCCAGTTGCAAGTTGCAAAAAAACCAGACCCTCCACCTTGCTTTCCAACAGCTTTGGACAATGCGCAGTTCACAAACACCCTTTTCTGTAACCAAAATACACTATTGTGGGTATTTTGCGCAGTTAGGGCTTAGAACAATGGGCTACCAACTGCTGAATGCTGAAGTAGTAATATTTAGAGAACGTTGTAATGACTCAGGAAGCATTGTTGAAAATAACTGAGACCATGAGGTTGGAATGAAGAGTGGAGTTTGTTCTCGGCTGAAAAGGGTGGGATGGCCAGCATTCCGACCTAGTATGCTGAAGAGCATCAATTCTTGTTCAATAAAAAAATCAATTTTCTGTTTGCCAGTGGAAAACTACAGGGATCTTTAAGGTAGTAAATACACTTTATCTTAAAAACTTCCTGCGGGTTTCCAAACCACAGACAAATTAGATACGCACATGCTTATTTGGCACAATTTTCATCTTCAAAAGCAAATAGCTTGCAAAGCTTTAACATTTACGAACTGAATGGTCTCACATGTTTCAAACCTCACAACTGCACATGCATGTTACAGTGCTCTTCAGGAGGGAAAATAACTATTTTAAGAAAATGTTTTCACTGTATAAAGGTAAGTCTTTTAGAAATAACTTTGAAGAACTCTGGATCCAACAGTAAGAGAACAAGTGAAAAAGCCCAGGAGTGATGGGGCAAGACCTAGTATTTGGGAGATCAGTAGTTTGGCCCAGGATTGTCTGCCATGGGCATTATCAAGAGCCCTGGCAGAAAAAGGCCTATGTATATACATAAACAGGGGATTTGTATGTACATAAACTTGAGTCACTAGGATTCCATAGATCCCCGTACAGGGCTCAGCTCTAAACAGTACCAACATCTGAGAAATCTGCGTTCCTGTTCACAGCGGCTTGACGAACATTAAGTATACAGCTCTGTTCCGGTGACAGCTGTGGTGGCTCTGAAAAGAGCCTTTGGGGGAAGCGGTGACAAAGTCGCGGGGTTCAAGCCCTCTCGCCGCGGATGCGGCGCGCCAGCTGGATGTCCTTGGGCATGATGGTCACGCGCTTGGCGTGGATGGCGCACAGGTTCGTGTCCTCGAACAGACCCACCAGGTACGCCTCGCACGCCTCCTGCAGCGCCATCACCGCCGAGCTCTGGAACCGAAGGTCCGTCTTGAAGTCCTGCGCGATCTCGCGCACCAGCCGCTGGAACGGCAGCTTGCGGATCAGCAGCTCCGTCGACTTCTGGTAGCGCCGGATCTCGCGCAGCGCCACCGTGCCGGGCCGGTAGCGGTGCGGCTTCTTGACGCCGCCCGTGGCCGGCGCGCTCTTGCGGGCAGCCTTGGTGGCCAGCTGCTTGCGCGGGGCCTTGCCGCCGGTGGACTTGCGAGCGGTCTGCTTGGTGCGAGCCATATCCGCTGGAGTATGTAAAACACAGTTGCCTAAGCAAAGAAGCACAATGAGCGAAAGGCCAACTCACCCAGCATTTATAGCAGACTTCGCGTGCTGATTGGATGCTGAACTATGCCCGGGATCAGAGCCGCCGCGGAATTGGTTCCTGGTTAATCCATTAACGAATGAATCACTTGGTGTGTGCGCAGTGCTTTTTTTCAAACTGAGACGCTTCCCGCCATGAACGTTGCTGGAAACAATAGCCAGACATTATTACCAATGTTTTTGTTTTACTTTCATTTTGTAAATCAATATACTTATTGCTTGAATTTTGATATTAGTAACTTTCCTTTTCTAAACGCGTTTTTTATGATACAGGTCCAAAGACCCAGAATTCCCCACTCCCCTACGCATTGCCCCTATTTTATTACATTTAGTCCAATACTAGTAGCTTTTATTAAAGTATGCGATGTTTTGTGTGTGGCCATCATCAGATACCTTCCATTTAAACCATCGTCTCCGGGGATTTTGTGTTATTACCCAAAAATCAGCTTCAGCCTGATACTGCCTTTTCACTGCTTAAGCTTTTTATTGAATGACACAGATACAGACGCATGAGCTTCTAACGTGGGATCTAATGGAATAAGGCAGAGGAGATAAAATGTATGTACATAGGAAAGGAAGATTTACAAAGAGGAGAAACAAAGGTCTCCCGTCCAGCAGCTTCCTTCAGGTCTCCCACGCGGGTGCAGGGTCCCAAGGCTTTGGGCTGTCCTCGACTGCTTCCCCAGGCCACAAACAGGGAGCTGGATGGGAAGCGAAGCAGCCAGGACACAAACCAGCGCCCATTCGGATCCCGGCGCGCGCGCACAAGCACGGCAACCACAAGGGAGGAGGAAACAAAAAGCCTCAGTTCGCTACTCATTCTTCCTTGCCTCCTGTGTTAATCTGGAATGCATCTAGTGTTGGGAATCCTTGCAATACTAAACACCACAGGTTTATCGCATAAGAACTCGGGGCGAGAATTCAGCGTTTACTAATACCATGTTTTTCAGAGATCTGTTTCCAAAGTTTATTCATCCTATACAACCCACGTGCCTGATACTACAGAGACTACCAGTTGCTAACCCTTTAACGGAAAGCTGGGGGGACAACCTGCCAGGATACAGAAGGGGAAGGGAAAACGTCAACGTATCATCTACAATAATGAAAGCAATGCGCGCTATGCTACCTAACTTATCCAAACATCTAAGAACACCGCTGGCAGTGTACAGTTCTATCAAGAACTTTGTGGGCGGCCCTGAAAAGGGCCTTTGTGTGATGGCGTCTGAAGCAGTGGAGGGAAGGGAGCAGCTCAGCCGCCGAAGCCGTAGAGCGTGCGTCCCTGGCGCTTGAGCGCGTAGACCACGTCCATGGCCGTGACCGTCTTGCGCTTGGCGTGCTCCGTGTAGGTGACGGCGTCGCGGATGACGTTCTCCAGGAAGACCTTGAGCACGCCGCGCGTCTCCTCGTAGATGAGCCCCGAGATGCGCTTGACGCCGCCGCGGCGCGCCAGGCGGCGGATGGCGGGCTTGGTGATGCCCTGGATGTTGTCGCGCAGCACCTTGCGGTGGCGCTTGGCGCCGCCCTTGCCCAGGCCCTTGCCGCCCTTGCCGCGACCAGACATCTTCAGCAGTCACACACCCACAGCCAACACGGCCTTCCTCGCGCCCAGCCGCGCCTTTATAAGCGCTCGGCGGACCTGAGTGAGAGCGGCTCGGCGGACACGCCCCCAAGGGGCGGAGACAGCAGCAGGCGGGAGCGCCCAGCGCCGACCTCTCCCGCCTCGCTGGGAAGCTTGCTGGACCCGGGGGCGCTTCCCTCTCCTCATGCTAATCGCGTTCTGATCACTTCTGCTGCAGTCCTGAGTCGAGGTCATAGCACATGATACAATTTAACGCTTTCCTCATGGACCTACCAGATTTGCCCAATACTTCGTGTTTCCCCTGCTGAAGCACTGCCATTTGCCCAACACTTCGTGTTTCCCCTGCTGAAGCACTGCCATTTTTTTAAAATAACATTCTCTTCCATTGTCCATTTGACTTATCCTGGAAATCTATGTGTACAGTACAGAAACTGTGAAAGTAAAAATTGTATCCTCTTAATAAGTCATACTCATCTTAATAACTTATACACAACACTTCATGTTTGCCCTGCTGAAGCATTGCCATTTTTAGCTGAATTCTTGGAAATAACATTTCGTTCTGTTCCGCAGTCCACTTCCCTCGTTGAGAAAAATCGTTTATAATCAAAACTGTAGAAAATTTCCACAAGGGGAAATTCCTTAAGTGTTTATATCTTCATGTAAAAAGGACTTCGGGCCGGGCGCGATGGCCTACCGTAGTGGTTAAATTCCTTGCCTTGAATGCACCGGGATCCCAAACGGGCGCTGGTTCTATCCCCTGCAGCTCCACTTCCCATCCTGCTTGTGGCCTGGGAAAGCACTCGAGGATGGCCCAAAGCCTTGGGACCCAGGACCCCACGTGGGAGACCTGGAGGAAGTTTCTGGCTTCTGGCTTCGGATGGCAGCAGCACCAGCCTTTGCACTCATGTCTTCTCATCTCTGTATGTCTATCTTTGCAATGAGAATAAATAAATCTTTATAAAATAAAGAAAGAAAATCACCTAAGGATTTCGTTGACATGGTTAGACTAACTCCGTTGTCTGTCAGTCAATTACTGCTTCTTTCCTAAAACATTGTGCACAGCTCACTTCATGGTCTCAGCCTATCATGGAAACACTCCCACAGAAGGTATGTAGTGTAAGATTCTCAATGATAGTTGCGTTTTCCTCCTCACGTTTAAGCTGACCATCACTGGGTGTTATGATTTTTACATTATGATCGGCATTCATTTACATTGCAGATGCCTGAGTGAGTAATAATTCAGTCCTTAGTTATCCAAGAATATTTGTGATAATGTCCAGCCAGAAGTGCTGATTCATTAGTTGATAAGAATTAATGCCTTAACTGTAAATAACCTATTTAGTAGGAAAAATTGTCCTATTGTTTCTGTTAAAAAAATAAAATAAATAAAAAAACGCTCTAGATACTGCCGTTTACATTAAGTTTAAGCACAAGACCAGCAACCTCTTCAAAATGTTGACAATAAGTGTTGAAGTCATTGGTTGGCTAATTACTTCCTTCCCCCTTGCTTTGTTTATGAGGGTGCCTTTCTTATTTGTGAGCCCCTTTATGAGGTAAACTGAACTTATTCTGAGAGGACGAGAGCCAGCGGAAGAGGACAAAGTGCATCCATCCAGAACTTAACGGCTGGACGGCCGTGTGCTGGGGAGAAGGCACGCACACGCTCTGCGCCAGGGATCCCTCCAGCGCTTGCAATGCTGCATTTCTTGTAAAATGAACCCGCGGGAAAACTGCCTGCAACATGCACCCCGAGTGGCTTGACCCGGAGTATAGGTTTCATCCGCGCACCCAAGAAGGCTGTGCAACTGCTCCCAAGAAGGCTTCCCGAGAAACACCTGAAGCTGGTTTTGAACATGAACCAATCAGCACTAAGTACTTCTCTGACCCTTTGCCAGAATAATTTGCATAGCGGACCTGAATGGGAACCCAGGCGGGAACTGGGTCTTGAACTGCGTTTCCCTTTGTTCTTGCTCAGCAATGCTTGTCTATCTGGAATTCCAAGCCAAGTGAATTGTAGTGAACTCATGCTAGGGACGAAATGAGATTTATGTGCGTGCATAGGGGTTAATAAAAAAGACAAATAACATTCCGAAATCAATCGCCTTGTTCTTCACAGTGAGGTAGAAGGGGAGACCTACACAGAGGCGCATTCGCTCAGCTCTCATGTGCCTGAAGACAAACATTCTCCACCCGGTGGAGATTTCTCCTCACCAGGTGATATTACCACAGGCCTTGAGGTGCAAGGTGCCCCTGGTAAGACTGTGGCCTAGGCTGAGGCCCATTCAGCTCTCCCAACTGTCGTTTTCGCAGTCACCTAAGCGAACGCCAGCCAGTGCCCAGGAAGAAAGGCACCCAGGATTCAGAACGTACTTTTTTTCCCGGAGATATCTGGCAGATCTGCCAGGCTTTAGGCTTTGGCTTGGCTGCGGTAGCTTTTGCCGTTTACGACTTTAACTCCTCTTCCTCATCAAATCAATGGTATTCACTGCACAGGAGTCTGTGGGGAATAGGGTGCTGTGGGATCCAGTGTTCAGGCCTGGTGTGGGTAAGCTTTCTCATCATCTAGCAACTACATTTGCTCTCTTGATATTCAAGTATTTGTTAACATCTTAAGTAGATTTTCATTCACTGAACAAAGCACCCGCAGAAGTTGTTTTCTATAACTTGCTATTATATTTGACAAAATATGCACCTGTTGTCACTGTCTTGCAGCGACGGACTTGGTGCACAGAACCTATAAAAACACGAGCGGATTATGACCAATGGTTGAAAACCAAAGTTTATTAGTGGCATCAGCCTTTATACACCAAGGGTCATATGTAATAAGGGAGGAGGCACTGAGCTTATCAAGAGAATGCCATCAATTCTTTCTATACTCTTGTTTGGAACTCTTTTGTGTTATATATCCCGCCAAGTGTTCTCATTCACATGTTATTCACTCAGCAGTTCTCATGCAAATTATATCATTTAGTTCCAGAAAAGGTATCTATCTGGCTGTTCACATACAAAGGACATCCCATCACACAAACGGCATCCATCTAGTTGTTCTCACACAAGCGTTATCCTATCAAATGTTTTCCCATCCTGTACTCCTTGACCTTCTAGGGTCACAATGTCCTTCTACAACCTGGAACTTTATTTGGAAACAGTTTATAAGCAGCATCCCAAACCTGAATGAAATAAGAACGTAATCACACTTAGCCCTTCCTTGGGGCATGGTCACCTAACATCTCCCCTCCACCCACACACAGATATTCAACAGGCACCACTACATCAGTAATGTTACCAGAAATGCCCGGTGGGTTCTTTCCTCAGCTTAGTATAGAAATAAAAAGCCGGGAATCTGTTGCAAACAGAAAAGTTTATTTGTGAAGGGACCAGGGAGCAGGGAAGGGAAGGAAGGGGAAGCACCTCCGGAAGAGAAGCCGGGAGGTGGGGTGCTCTCGAGAGAGGAGGGAGAGAGAGACACCAAAGGTTTGAGGAAGGGTCTAGGGGTTTTAAGCCTTCCTTGACCCCTCCTTGTTGGGCGGGGAACCTATAGGTGAGATGTTCCCCATTGGTGATCTCTTGATTAATTAGGAAATGGGTGGACAATGCTGGTGCCAGCCCACCTGAAGGTGTGGCCAAGACCTCAGAGGACCTGGATGGTCTCAGTCCCCCCTCTTGAAATCCCACATCCTACTTCTGTAGGGGGAAAAGGGGCGACGATGTCTTCTGGCTGCTTCCTGCTGAATCGGGACGACATTTGGGTAAGGGGCCCCTGAAGGTGTGGGATCCAGAGAGATGGTCCAGGTCATCCAAGTTGCCATGGCAGAAGTTGGTCTGGTTGTCACACAAGTTTGCATGTACAAGGCCACCTTGAGTCTGAAGACCCCTAATCAGGAAACAAGCATAAGACAGTTGAGAAGACAGTTGCATGCTCTATGTAGAGCAGGAACCAACACAGATGCAAAGAGCGTCCATAGGCTAACTTTTTAGAATAGTTTGTGTCCAGGAGTGAAATTCCGCTCCTGTTCCCTGCACTGTGCTAGACCTAGGCTTTTGTCTGATAACCTTAAGTTGACGAGTCTGCTCAACAATGGGCCTGATTCTATAAGCCTGCACTATAACGTTCTTAGTTAGGGCCCCATTTTGTTAGTTGCAATAACAGTATCAGGTGACAAGATGTGGGGGAGCATATAGGAAACACTTATCTGTTAGGTGCCTTTTTGAAAAGCAGCTTTAAATCCTCCAGTGCATCCCAGGTTGGTTCTATAGAATCTGGTTGACGGTTGACCTTAGACCATAGAGTCAGTATCTACCCCAGGAGGGAAAATGACTTTGTACATCAGGGCAAAGACTGAGCCTACAAGGACCCTTACCAATATCTCATCCCTAACAAAGGGACAGGTGTCAGAGGAATAACAAGTACAGAGTGGATAGAAGTGGAGATATCCCCAAGTACAAGCCCACGGCCAGAGATGTCCCATACAGTTACTTTGAACGGACCTCAGTCTAGGAGAGAAGGGCAAGGCAGAGAATCAAGCACCTGTGTCCAGCAAGAAAATGACCTTTTGAGAACTCACCATCAGGGAGACTTGAGGCTCCTCAGTATGAACTCAGATGGTGGGAGCCTAGATAGGAGTCCCTGGGATCCATCACTGGGGGGTCCTGGTTAGCAGACCCCTGCTCTCTCTGGAGCTGGGGGCAGCACGATTTCCAATGATCCCCTTTGCAGACGAGACATGGTCCCGGAGGAGACTCCTGGCCTGTGGTTCGAGGGCACTCCCTCTGAAAATGTCCTGGCTTCCCACAGTTGTAGCAGCACCTCATGGTCCTTTTCCCTGGGGTGGATGCACTCATAGCGGCCAGCATCTCACTGTGGCGCCTGTCCTTCTGCCTTTCCTTCTCTAAGTCTCGATTATAGTAAACAGCATTGGCTGCCTGGATCAACTGGTCCAAGGAAGACTTGTCAGGGTCTGCCATAAGCTTTTGGAGCTTTCTCCTGATATCTGGGGCAGACTGTAC